CAGGAGACCTCGAATAACTAAAGCAATCTTATAAACAAAAACAAAGCCAGAGGCATCACAATACCAGATTTCAAGACATACTATAAGGCAGTTATAATCAAAACAGCCTGGTACTGGTACAAAAACAGATGGACAGACCATTAGAACAGAATGTAAATGCCAGAAATCAATACAAGAATCTACAACTAACTTATATTCAATCTAAAACCAATCCCTGGAGCAAGGACAGTCTCTTCAACAAACGGTGCTGGGAAAACTGGATTTCCACATGCAGAAATATGAAGCAAGACCCCTAGCTTACACCTTACACAAAAAAAAATCCATTCAAAATGGATTAAAGATCTAAATCTATGACCTGATACTATCAAATTATTAGAGAGCACTGGGGAAACCCTGCAAGACACTGGCACAGGCAAACAGTTCCTGGAAAAGTCCCCAAAGGCACAGACAAGCAAAGCCAAAATTAACAAGTGGCATTACATCAAATTGAGAAGTTTCTGTACTGCAAAAGAAACAGGAAAGTGAAGAGGCAACCAACAGAATGGGAGAAATTTGCAAACTATGCTATTGATAAAGGATTAATAACCAGAACATACAAAGAAATCAAGATTCTCCACCACAACACACCAAACAACAAGTTAAGAGAAGGGCAAAGCACTTATATAGACATTTTTCAAAAGAGGAAATCCAAATGACTAATGGTCATATGAAAAAATGTTTAGGATCACTAGCTGTCAGGGAAATGCAAATCAAAACCACAATGAGGTTCCACCTCACTCCTGTTAAAACAGCTTTCATACAGAAATCAACAAATAACAAATGCTGGCGAGGATGTGGGGAAAAGGTAATCCACTGTTAGTGGGAATGTAAATTGGTAAAACCACTATGGAAGACAGTTTGGAGATACCTCAGAAATCTGAGTATAGACCTATCATATGACCCAGCCATCCCACTCCTGTGAATTTACCTAAGGTAAATGAAATCAGCAATTATTACAGAAATTATCTGTACCCTCATTTTTATTGCAGCTCAATTCACAATAGCCAAGATTGGAATCAACTCAAATGCTTAACAATTGAAGACTGGATAAAGAAACTATGGTATATATACACCATGGAATACAACACAGAGTAAAAAAAAATGAAATCCTATCATTTGTAACAAAATGGATGAAACTGGAAAACACCATACTTAGTGAAATAAGCCAGTCCCAAAAGGACAAATTCAAAACACTCTCCCTGATCTGTGATAACTAATAGAGCACCTAAAAGAAATTCTATAGAAGTATAACAGACACTGAGAAGCAATGACTTGAATAACCCTTGTCTCAACTGTCAAAGAACAGTTTTCTTCTTCTTCATACTATTTATTGAACTCTTTACTTAACAGAGTTAATCATATGTATATAAAGTCAATTGAAATTGATCTCAGTAAAAAATAAGAATGGGGAATAAGAGAGGGACGAGGAAGTTTGTAACTGTAGAGCTGTATAGTTCTGCATACATTCCTATGGACTTACTTCTAAGGGTACACGTTTCCTCTGTGAATACTAATGTTGAAACCTAATTTAATAATAATATAAAGATTTCATTTTAAATTTGAATACTATTAAAACTGCGTGTGAACTATCACATTGGAATTGTAACATAAGGCCAATAATAATGTAAATCCAAAACCACTCATTCACAAACAATAAACACAACTTGGAACGATAAATAAAAATGGCATAGGATTTAATATTATGTTATATAATGCATATATTGGTCACATAAACAGTTTAATTTCCAATAAATATTTCATTTTTGTTTTCTTCCTCATATATATGTATGTGTATGTGTGTGTATTGTTTTATCAAGAAATCAGAGTGCTGGCATGGCAGGTTCAGTGCTGCCAGCAACGCCGGCATCCCATATTGGCACAAGTTCATGTCACAGCTGCTCCATTTCTGATCCAGCTCCCTGCTAATGGCCTGGGAAAAGCAGCAGAAGCTGGCTCAAGTGTCTGGCCCCTGCCACCCATGAGGGAGACGTTGAAGAAGTTCCTGGCTCCTGGCTTTGGCCTAGCCTAGCTCCAATCATTGCAGCCATTTGAGGGTGAAACAGTGGATAGAAGATCATTATCTCTCCTTCTCTCTCTGTAACTTTGATTTTCAAATAAATAAATAAATAAATAAATCTTTTAAAAAATAAATAGGGGCCAGTGTTGTGGGTGTAATGAGCTAAGCCTCTGCTTGCAGCACTGGCATCTCATATGGATACCAGTTCGAGTCCTTGCTGGTCTTCTTCTGATCCAGCTATCTGCTACAGCCTGAGAAATTAGCAGAAGATGGCTCAAGTGCTTAGGTCCTTGCACCTGTGCAGGAGACCCTGAATAAACTCAGATCAGTCCAGTTCCAACCATTGCGGCCATTGTAGGTGGAATTTCTTTCTCTCTGTCGCTCCTTCTCTTTGTAAATCTCTCAAATAAATAATAAAAATGTTTAAAAAAAAGTTGAGGAAGACAGTCACTAAATAGAAACTGTAAAATTTTTTTAAATAAATAAATAAAAACATACTGCTTGGTATGCCCACATCCTATACTGGAGTAACTGGTTGAATGCCCAGCTCCTCCACTTGCTATCTAGCTTTCTGCTAACATACACCCAGGGAGGTAGCAGGTGATGGCCCAAACATTTAGGTTCCTGACACCTACATAGGAGACACAGATTGAGTTCCAGGTTCCTGGCTTCGATCTGATCCAGCCTCAGTTGTGAGCATGTGGGGCATAAACCAGTAGAGGAAAGTTCGCTCTATTTCTCTGTTGTTTTTTCTTTCTGTCTTTCAAATAAAATGAGAATTAAACATATATATAAGTGATATATATACATATATATATCACTTATTCTTTAAAACCAAAGAAATCAAACTACTGAAAAGAAATAAAAATCAAATGATCCCCCCCTTCTACATTTTATAATGTTAAGAGACAGAACAGGCAGGTAACATAATAGAGATCTCAAAAGCACAAATTCCAGCACTCCATATAAAAATCAACATAGTTAGTCAATTCTCAAGGTTATTTATTTCTCTCTACTTATGATATGACCCTTCCCTCAAACACTAAAGCATATTGTTAATAGCTCTCCTTTGCTAGTTACAGTTTGCTTTGTAGAAAACTTACTGAAATACTTGCCAGATCCTCTTTCCAAAATGTAAGCTTATACACCTTAGAACATTTAAACATATTACTGGGAAGAGAATAAGTACTGCTCCCCAAAACCTTCAGAATTATTCTTAACAAGCCTTTGATACTACACAATCCTGAACTGTACCAACATTTTATATCTCGAACTGGCGCTCTGATAAGAGTCGTCATTGTCACAAGCAGCATCTTAACCCACTGCACCATGAAACTAGCCCCTGTTTAATTCTTATAAAAAAAAAAGTTAGCAAAAAAAATGGCTGTTCTAAATTGGCACCAAATATTAACTAAATAATGAAGCTGACCATTGAAAAATTCGATATTTCACCAAATATGCATTCATAGATGAAAATTCCCATGTTCCATTTTGGAACATAAACACTATAAAACAAAGTTTAGGGGGAGGGGTGTAACAGTACTGTTATGAGTGCAATTACAATGATATCTAATTCACTAAAATATGACACATAACTGGTTAAGTAAACACAAACTAATATTTCATGGTGATTAAGAAAAGAGACTAACAAGAAGAAAAGAAAAAGAAAGAATAAAAAAGATGAAAGAGAACAATTAAGGACCCAAATTTTTAAGTCTGGCAGGAAAAATAATGAGAGACACTGGTACTAGGACTTTTTACAGAGCCACCAATACCAAATCAAATAGTCTATCACAGGCAGAATATGGCAATAAAATATAATGGGGGCCAGCGCTATGGTGTAGAGGGCTAAGCCACCACCTGCAGTGTTGGCATCCCATATGGGCTCCGGTTTGAGTCCTGGCTGCTCCACTTCCGATCCAGCTCTCTGCTATGGCCTGGGAAAGCAGTGGAAGATGGCCTAAGTCCTTGGGCCCTGCACCTGCATGGGAGACCCAGAAGAAGTTCCTGGCTCCTGACTTCAGATTGGCACAGCTCCAGCCATTGTGGCCATCTGGGGAGAGAACCAGCAGATAGAAGACCTCTCTCTTTCTCTCTCAGCCTCTCTGCAACTCTGCCTTTCAAATAAAATAAATAAATCTTAAATATAGATATAGATATAGATATAAAATAAAGATTAAGAAGGTATGTAGAAAGGCCAAAGAAAATTCCGTGGGTTTTGAAGTAACTTTTGTAAATACTACACCAGATACACCAGTAAGATCATTTTGAATTTCAGTAACCTCAGAACTGGTGACATGACAAGCATGAAATATGTATGCAAGAAGACAAGTGTGCATGTGCACACACATGTGAGTGTTAGGGAATCATGATTGTGTCCTAAAATCTCACATTTCTAAAATTACTTGCTTTTTACTTGACATCATGCCCTAACTTGAAACACATCACTAAGAAAGAAATCTACTTCCACAAAAACATGTACAAAATTTTCCAAAATCAGGATCAGGATCAGCAGCTGTGAAACTTCTCTCCCTTGTCACATTCATTGTTGGTGTAAATGAACTCTTCCTACATGTTGTGCCTCCCTCAAAGTTCGTGTTCACTATCCTTTTGCTCAGATGGACCTGAAAATAATGAGGCTATACAATGTCTCCAGGGATATTTAAATCATTTCTAAAGATTGAAACTTAATTCAATAAACATATTCTAAATGGCCACTATGTTAGGAGCTATTAATGGAAAAAGGATTGTATTAGTCTTCTATATAAATGATCATGACTTTGTCTTAATATTAAGTCTATTATTTTAGTTCTAAAATTGAAAGGGTTTTGTTACTTCTTGTGTCACAATTTCCCTAAGTTACTTTAGATTCCACTTACATGCCTGATTGTGACATAGCTTGACCACACTGAAATAATCTTCAACATGATATGAACCAACTTACACTACAGTTTTCAGGCGGAACTAGAAGTTGAGTAATCTCGCCTCCATGAACACAGAAGATATGTTTCATTTCTCCAGAAAATATGTCCCAAATTATGACGGAAAAATCCACACCTCCAGATATCAGGTATCTTTGGTCATACCGAGCTGAGACCTGATGAGGATATAGCAAACATGTGACTTTGTTCCGATGACCCCGGAGTGTTCTGTGAGGTGGCCAACCTGTGAATGAGTTTTGGATTTAAAATGGGAAAATTAAAGTCTTACAAAGTTTCAACAAATAAAAGTAAACATGACTTGCCAGAAAGCTACAAAATATATCATAGGAAAAAGCTTCCAAGTTTATCTTCTAAAATTGCTTTGTGCAATATTCTATAGAAGACTAATGGAGCACCTGAAATGGGGTGCTCAGGATTGGTATGTGTTATAAATGAAAAATAGTCAAGAAGTTGGAATGAAAATAATTTTCCACATTAGGTTATATAAATATATTACAATGATTAATTTCACTGGTTTGGCTTTAGTTTTTAACATAGCTATTAGAAAATTACATATATGATTTGTATCATATTTCTGTTGGACAACACTGATCTAGAAGATCATCCATGTTACTGGCAATATATTTAGTCATCCATTGAAATAATAATATTATTATTTCAAACTATTAATGTATACCAAGAGATAAAATTGGATACTTTTCTATTTACAGTCATTATATGGTATTTATTCCAATAATGTAGGCACTGAATATTTTATTAGCTGCACATTAAACTCCGCCAACTATATGGCACACTATCAACTATACTGATTCATTATATTTGTTAGAAACAGAGTACAGATATTTCATTATCATTATTTATAGGGTTCTTAAAACACTGTAGACATCTGTAGACTGGTATACCTCTTCTGAGCATGTGTTCCCCTTGCAACAGCTGTACTATGGCCGTCTGTGTGGCAGGTACAATAATTATGCTTCCATCTTCACGGCCACAAACAAGCCGCCCGTGTGCTGGTATGTACACACTTGCAGTCACTTTCAGAGGTTCATTACTATTGGGAACCACACTCAGCTGATCTATAATTCCAGCAGGACAAGGACTCAGTTTATCAAATGCCTCTTGCAAACTAACAGAAGTTGTCATCTCCAGCTCTGTAGAGGTTTTGTTTTGTATAAAAGAAAAACATTTTTGGATGTTAAAATAAAATTGAAAACATTACAATAATGTTGGCAAATTCAGCAATGTACTAAAATATAACTGTCATCAAATATAATCCCCAGAAAAAAATGATGTATGTACATTTTGAATTTGTTATCCAGTGGTTAGTATTCAAGATGTTAAATTTTAAAAACTAGGAAGTCACTGCAAATGACTATTACCTTCTTCACCTTGTTTATCAGCTATGTCTGAGATGTTCCAGATATTTAATCTTCCAGAGGAATCCCCTTGAATTAACAGTTTATGGAAGTATTCCCGGCATCCATAGAAGAATCGAGTAACAGGAGGACAAATAAGCAACTGCCAAAAATTATTTAAAAATATCTTCAGCTATGTTTGTAATCAAAAGATTTCACCCATCAATATTTCTTTGAATAAAGATGTTAGATACTCACATCTAAGTATTCAAGTTAAAAAAGCATTTATGGTATGATTATTTAACAATGTTTTAATGTAATTTTGTAGCATTAATATATACATAAACCAATATTCAAACCTATTATAACAAACATCTAAAGCATTGAAAACTGTATTTATAGTCTTTCTCTATGATTAGTACTTACATTCTTTCTCTCTGCTTCATTAAACATGGTTTCTAGCCACAACACTTCAATTTATTTGATTGCTGTTTTGCCCACTCCTGGTAAGTCATTTAGAAGCGGGGACAGGTATGCGGCCTAATGGTTAAAAAGCAGTGAGGACACCAGTGCCCCACACTGGAGTACATGGGTATGATTACAAGCTCCATTTCCTAATTCCACTTTCCTGCTAAGGAGGACACTGGGATGCAGTGGTGATGGCTTAATTGGGTTCCTGATACCTATGCGGGAGGCCTAGATTCAGTTCCCAGCCCCTGGCTTCTCCAGGCCTGCCCCCAGCCATAGTGGGCATTTAGAGTGTGAACTAGAAGATGAAAACTAAATCTCTTTTCCCATCCCTTCTCAAATAATTAAATAAAAATTGAAAAAAAAAAAAAAGGCAGCAAAATAGAACAACCAAGATTATGAAACTAGAACACCTTTTTGGTTAATTAACTTAGTTTTCAACTAATAACATAATATTTCACTTGGTCACATTTAGAAAATCAATTTTAGCTGGCGCCGTGGCTCAATAGGCTAATCCTCCGCCTTGCGGTGCCGGCACACCGGGTTCTAGTCCCGGTCGGGGCGCCGGATGCTGTCCCGGTTGCCCCTCTTCCAGGCCAGCTCTCTGCTGTGGCCCGGGAGTGCAGTGGAGGATGGCCCAAGTGCTTGGGCCCTGCACCCCATGGGAGACCAGGAGAAGCACCTGGCTCCTGCCTTCAGATCAGCGCGGTGCACCGGCTGCAGCACGCTGGCCGCGGCGGCCATTGGAGGGTGAACCAATGGCAAAAGGAAGACCTTTCTCTCTGACTCTCTCTCTCACTGTCCACTCTGCCTGTCAAAAAAAAAAAAAAAAAAAAGAAAAGAAAAGAAAGAAAGAAAATCAATTTTAACCTAACTTGGTATGTCAGTTATAAGCTAATAGAAACAAAAACTATTCAGTAGGGTTTTGTGTATACTTCTATTTTTGAAATAAATTATTTTTAGCTTACAATCTCATGCCTTCAGTGAGATCACTTATTTGAAAATACTAAACAGTTGTGGACCCTTAAAATTAAAAATCAGAGTATTAATTCACAAGTACTGAAATATTGAAGCATGGACTCTTAGAAAAACAGAAAAAAACAGATTTCAATTTTGACAATTATAGTTAACAAATTCCTGTATTTGGTATCAGTTGTTATATAAAAAACACTAGCTTATGGAAAGTACATATATTAAGCCCAACAAAAATTTCCTAACTTTCCCTAAATTCTGAAAATTTTAACTATTAACAATATACTAAAAAGGAGAAATTGCTACAGCAGCTGTAATAATCAATATTTTAACATATGAGTGCTTCATACCACATAATAAATGCATTTTAATTTAAAATGTATTGGGGAGTTTTTTTTCAAGATTTATTAATTTATTTGAAAGGCAAAGTTACAGAGAGGCAGAGGCAGAGAGAGATCTTACATCCTGGTTCATTCCCCAGATGGTTGCAATGGCCAGAGCTGGACAGATCTGAAGCCAGGACCCAGGAGCTACTTCCTGGTCTCTCACATGAGTGCAGGGCCCAAGCACATGGACCCTTTTCTGCTTTCCCAGGCCATAGCAGAGAGCTGGATCAGAAGTAGAACAGCCTGCTCTCGAATTGGCTCCCATATGGGATGCCGACACTGCAGGTGGCAGTTTTACCCACTACACCAACAGCACTGGCCCCGGAGCTGATATTTTTAAAAAATGATCTATGGTAGTTTTTTTTTTTAATCTATGTTTGTTTTTATACAGGTCAGTATACCTTTATTTAACTGGATGCAACCATCTAGGTTGGACAGTAGTAGTAAGGATTTAAGTTAGGAGAGTAAAGAACAAATAGGCTATAAAGAATCTCAGTTAAACATAGATCCTTAAATTCTATATACTCAAAATATTCATGGATCTCTCTGTCTCTCCTCTTTTGCCTTTTAAATAAGTAACTAAATCTAAAACAAAACAAAACAAAACAAAAAAAACAACCTGTGGTTAAACAATTGCCTTCCCCTTACCATCTGTCCACAGAAAGCTAGAACACAGTGTTATGTCCATTAAGCTGTGGGGACACAGGACATAAAGGAAAGTTTTATCTCCTAAACCAAAGCTTCTTTCTAAATGCACATAGAACAGAGCTGAAAACTCAGTACTGAGTACTTCTGTATTTCAACTTGAAGTCAACATTAAACAGGTAGTTAGAAATCACAAACTCTGGGGGCCAGCACTGTGGCGAAGCGGGTAAAGCCACCCCCTGCAGTGCCAGCCTCCCATATAGGCGCCAGTTCGAATCCCAGCTACTCCACTTTCAATTCAGCTCTCTGCTGTGGCCTGAGAAAGCAGTAGAAGATGGCCCAAGTCCTTGGGCCCCTGCACCCACATGGGAGACCCGGAAGAAGCTCCTGGTTCCTGGCTTTGGATCAGTGCAGTTCTGGCCATTGTGGCCAATTGGGGAGTGAACCAATAGATGGAAGACCTCTCTCTCTGCCTCTCCTTCTCTGTCTAACTCTGACTTTCAAATAAATAAATAAATCTTTTTTTTTAATAAAAGAATGTGTTCAATGTAACTATCAATTATAAATGGTACCTGAAAAATTTTACCTCTTTATCTTTTCGATCCAAGAGGCTATATTGTACAGGAGGAATTAGATTTTCAACTGCTTTCCCCACATCACTACGGAATGAATCACTAGCTGGAAGACAACTGAAAATGAAAAAAATACAACACTTAGTTAAAATACTGACATTAAATAATTTATCATTTCATAACAGAATTTTTTTTTTGATAATGGACAAAGGAGAATGTTTAAAAATACAGTTAATTGGGGTCGGTGCTTGGCATAGCGGGTTAACGCCCTGGCCTGAGGCACTGGCATCCCATATGGGTGCTAGTTCTAGTCCTGGCTGCTCCTATTGTGATCCAGCTGTCTGCTATATGGCCTGGGAAAGCAGTAGAAGGTTGCCCAAGTCCTTGGGCCCCAGCACCCATTTGGGGGACCCGGAGGAAGCTCCTGGCTCCTGGCTTCAGATTGGCATAGCTCAGCCGTTGCGGCCATCTGGGGAGTGAACCAGTGGATGGAAGATCTTTTTTTCTGTCTCTACCTCTCTCTGTAACTCTGTCTTCCAAACAAATAAAGTAAATCTTAAAAAAAAATTAAAACTTTAAAAATTCAAAAAATAAAACTAAGTTAATTTAACTATAGGCTTGAAATTCAAACATTTATGCAACCAGAAAAATCCTTCAAGCAGAAACCCACCTAATTTTGGTACTTAGAAGTTAAATTAGGGGCCAGCATTGTGGCACAGTAGGTTAAACAGCTGCTTGTGATGCCAGCATCCCACATCAGCACTAGTTCAATCCTGGCTGCTCCATTTCGAAACCAGCTCCCTGCTAACTTGCCCCTGGGATAGCAGCACTTGGGCCCTTGTTACCCACATGGGAGACCCGCATGCAGTTCCAGGCTCCTGGCTTTGGCCTGGCCCAGCTCCAGCCATTGCAGCCATGTAGGGAGTGAACCAGCAGATGGAAGCTACCTTTCCTCTCTTTTCTCTTTGTGTGCCTCTCCCTTTCTTTAACTCTACCTTTCAAATAAATTAAATAAAAACCTTTTAAATAAATAAATAAAGTTAAATTGCATTTTAAGTATAAGTTAAGAAGTTCTAATGTCTGTAACCTAAATTATTTATAGAACCTACATTTTCATACTTTCAGATTACATACCAAATTCTGCTTTTTTTACTTGGATTAAAATCCTGATTTCTTATGTATTGCATACCTAGCAGGGAGTTTGTAAATGTAACTTTGCCCATTTTCAGTCCAAATGATGACTTTATCTGCTGATACAAAATCCCCTCCAGTCCACGTCTGGCCATTTTCACTGGGACCTGAACACAACAGGGAATAGTCTCCAGCATCAAATACCTACAAGGAATAAGAAAGTCACAATCCTCTCCATGTTGATGCCATTTAAGTAAGACCTAGTGACATTTCAACTTAGATAAAGCTCTGGAAATAGAAATATGTTTAACTAACTCAGGTCCTTAATGTTCAATTCCTCAGATAAAGATACTTTGTTAGTGACCCCCAGCATGTGGTCAAGTTAAATTCCCAAGAGTGGGATGGCTGGATCATATGGTGGGTCTATATTCAGATTTCTGAGGTATCTCTATACTGTCTTCCACAGTGGCTATCCCAGTTTACATTCTCACCTACAATGTTTGAATAAAATACATTCTATAATTGTTAGAAGTTTTCCCCAAGAGGAATGAGTAATTACACAATGACCTCAAGTTTTTATCTTGCTCTCCTTTAAAGAAAATAATATTGCTTGTGCAGAGCCCTGGAGTAAGAATAAATACTAGTTGACTTGCCATAATCTCCATTATTTGCCATAATATTTATCATCATATGATACTAACTAAAATAAGAAGCAAGAAAAGTCTACAAAAGAATAATAAAGAGATCAGTCCTATTATCTACTAAAACAAATCATAAAGTTATGGAAGTTAAAATAATGCAGAATTAACTCATGAATGGATAGACAAGAAGTCTGGAAACAGAATGCAATAAGATAGGAATACAGCATATTGTCAAGGCACAAGAACAGATGAATTATTCAATGAATGGCAACAAGAACTCGGGTCTTCAGCTGAAATAATATATATGTCACAATTTATGCGAAATAAATTCCAGATTAAATACTCACAGATATAAAAACAATATGTATTGGAGAAAACAGGTACTTACTTTTTGTTTTGCTTTTTTAAAATCTCAGTACATAGTAAGCCCTTTTAAACATGACACAGATGTCTTAGAACCACAAAATAAAAGATAATAATTCAACTATATTAAAATTGAAAACTTAAGCATGACAATAAATATTTGAAGACATCATTCTGTTTGGCCGCAGGACCACCTCAGTGTTATTTTACCACTACAGCCAGAAGACCTGAGTAGTAACTCAGCCACTCCACCACTACTTGCACCACCTTAGTCTCGTAGTTTATCCCTCTGTGCCTTCGCAGCCTCATCTGCTGCTGCTACGGCTGGAAAGCTCTAAGCCGGCTCCACTGCTCCTAACTCCAGCACTCACATCATTGTGCAATCCGGTGAACAGGCTGGGCTATGCAAATGTTTCCAGGGAACACAATATGGTACAGGTGATGAGATCTGAATTCCAAGCTTCAGTAGGTCTTGGGGACACTTTGTCTCGTGTACTTACTCTGAAGGACAGCTCCCACATCATGAGCACCCCTGTAGAGCCACCAACATGGCAAGGAATAATGTCTCCAACCAATAGTCACTGAAGAACCCGAGGCCTGCCAACTGCCAACTGAGGGATCTTGGAATCAGACCCACCCAGAGTCTAGCAAAGAGTCAAGATCACAGTCCCAACAGATACCTGGACTGCAGCCTGTGAGAGACCCTGCTCGGAGGTACCCAGCTGAGCTATGTCAAGATTCCTGCCCAGAGAACTTGAATGATAAAGCAAGTTTGTTTTTTACATTTCTAAATTTTGGAATAATTTGTTATGGAGGATTAAATAATATACCTATCCTTGGAGTGTTGGGAGAATGAAAAGAAATAACAGATGGAAAGCTTTAAAAATAAAAAACGCTAGCTTTAAAAATAAATAGAGCAAGTGCTTAAAACATGCTGCTTAATTTTCTATCATGTACATATTAAAGTTGAGGAATGAGAAATTATATTCTCCTTAAATCATCATCTGAAATGATGGAGGAAGACTTTCTCAACTCCAAGAAGCCAAAAAACGTCAACCAGATTTAATAATATCCTACCAAAAATGTTCAACCTGCAGAATATTCACTATATTGTTTACATTGTACTAAGACAATAACTAAACAGTGACAAAAAGCTGAAATTAAGACCAATAAAATACAGTCACTAATTGAATCATTCCATGAACCAAAACAAAGACAAGTCTCTGGTGTTCAAAAATGGTATGGAAATTAGATAGGAATTCAAAATTACTAAAACAGTCTCGCACCCAGTATTGCCTTAGAATTCTCTTTGGAAGACTGATGCACCAATATCTTGAAGGACAAAAATATAGCTCCTGATGTGTAGTTATCTTACCCTCCAGTATTTGGAGCACACAACCAAAAGTGATCTTTGTGTGAATGCGCAAAAGGAGATGCTTTGGCAATTCTGACAATAAATAGGTTTGGATTCCTCCTCAAATATTGGCTCAGTATCCTGAAAAGAGAAAGATTTGTGAAGCTTTAGGAATAGCTTGGTTATCAACAAAATTATCACCCTAAAAACATCTGGGTACAAGTGCCTTTGCTACAAAGCTACTCAAGATTTAAAGCCATATGTGAGAATGTCATCACTCTGGCAAAAATAGTAAAAAGTGTATTAATCCTAGTATCTGTAGCTATATGTCCTTTAGGTTAAAAAAAAAAAAACAATAACAACTGATCAGTTCCTCTAGTTTCTACCAAATTCAATCCTAAAGCTTCTCTAGTTTAAGAGATTAGCGGTGGGTTGGCGTTGTAGCATACTGGATTAAGCCACTGCCTGCAACAAAGGTTCACATATGGGTGCTGGTTCAAGTTCTGGCTGCTCCACTTCTGATCCAGCTCCCTGCTGATGCACATGAGAAAGCAAAGATCTTCCCAGTCCTTGGGCTCCTGTACCTATTTGGGGAGACCAGGATGTAGCTCCTGGAGCCTGACTTCTGGCTTTGGCCTCGCCCAGTCCTGGCTACTGCAGCCACTCTTTCTCTCTGTAACACTGCCTTTCAAATAAATCTTTAAAAAAAAAAAGAGAGAGAGATTAGGCTGGTGCCGTGGCTCAATAAGCTAATCCTCCGCCTGTGGCGCTGGCACACCGGGTTCTAGTCCTGGTCGGGGCGCCAGATTCTGTCCCGGTTGCCCCTCTTCCAGGCCAGCTCTCTGCAATGGCCCGGGAATGCAGTGGAGGATGGCTCAAGTGCTTGGGCCCTGCATCCCATGGGAGATCAGGAGAAGCACATGGCTCCTGGCTTTGGATCAGTGCAGTGCGCCGGCCACAGCGCGCCGGCCACAGCGGCTATTGGAGGGTGAACCAACGATAAAGGAAGACCTTTCTCTCTGTCTCTCTCACTGTCCACTCTGTCAAAAAAAAAAAAAAAAAAAAAAAAAAAAGAGAGAGAGAGAGAGAGAGATTAGCATCAATATTATCTGAAAATTGATCTGCCTTTCTTACTGATTAAAAATAACAAGAAAATCAAGCCCCTATACCTGCAATGGAGGCCTAAAGGCAGCCTTACACACTTTCAGTGATGGTTTGCTTTACTTTTTTTCCCTCAAATTACCTTTTAACTTTCTTTATTAAAGATTTATTTATTTATGTGAAAGGCAGATTACAGAGAGGCAGAGGCAGAGAGAGGGAAAGAGAGGTCTTCCATCTGCTGGTTCACTCCCCAAATGGCTGCCAACAACTGGAGCTGAGCTGATCCAAAGCCAGGAACCAGGAGTTTGTTCAGGGTCTCCCACACGGATGCAGGGGCTCGAGCACTTCGGCCATCTTCTACTGCTTTCCCAGGCCATAGCAGAGAGCTGGCTCAGAGGTGGAGAAGCCAGGACTCGATCTGGCACCCATATGTGATGTAAGCACTACAGGCAACAGCTTTGCCCACTACACCACAGCGCTGGCCTCATCTTTTTTAACTTCTAATTTAGAAAGCAGTTGTGGAAAACTCCACCTCTTTTATATGTCTCTACTTTATATCCTCTGCAGTATGTTTCTGTATTTCAGATACTTGAGGGAGCAGTTATTTCCAATACATATGAAAAACAACAATGCACTTATGCTAACCATTTACAGAGAACTTCTATTACATGTCTGCAAGATCCCAAAACATTTTCCCTTCTTAGGAAAAGAAAGGGAAGGAACAAGTCAGGACTAAAACTTTAGACTGTAAGAATAAAAACAGAGAAAGCACTCCCAGCTTCCCTTGTCTCACCTGCATGCCACTTATTTCAGAGGTAACGATCCACACCTTCAGGATGCCCGTCACCGAGAGTGCCACCACAGTGTCCTCTAGGCCGAGAAGGCACAAGAAGCCCAGGTTACAAACAAAATATGTTTTCTTTCTAAATATTAAGCCAGTTTGCTTTAATGAAATTAAATAATAGCAGCTTTCACAAGTTGCAGAAAAACTTCATTCTCTACTTCATGAAATAGAAACCAGATTTAGAAGCAGCTCCGTCTGTAGCCTTTGTAACATCCTTTATAACAAACCAGTACACCTATGTGTCGCCCTGAGTTCTCTGAGCTGCTTGAGCAAATTCACTGAACCCAAGAAGGATGTGGTAGGAACCGATCAGTCAGAAGCCTACTGGTCAACAGCAAGGTCACACAAGCTGGAGCTTCAGACTGACAACTACAGAGATGGTCTTGGGCACAGAGCCCTCAACCTTGGGGTCTGCTTCCATCTCCAGGTGCACAGAGTCAGAACTGAGGTGACCAGAGGAAACAGCTGGTGTCTGCTGCAGGCTTAACGGCTTGCTTGCTAGTGATGGAAATCCCCACACCCTCAAAAGCCACAGAAGTCTTCTGTTTGGATTGTTGTGTGGGAGACAGAGGAGAAAAACAAATTCTTTTTCCAACACAGCATGATATAAAACCTACATTCGTAAGTTTTTGTTAGGGGACCAGATTCAGCACCACAATAATCTATGTGCACTCCAGGAGCATGAACACTACAAAGCTCCAGAGTGAAGGGGGCACATGTTAAAATCAAAGTCACGTTTTCTTCAATGATAACTGTGGGGAGCAATCCGGACTGGACTGAGTTACTGGAATTAAGACTTATTCTATGCATCTGCTCTCCCACAATATGGCGCTGGGAGAGAAGTAAACAGCTTCTGCACAGCTGCCTCTCACCAACTTGACAAACTGTAGGACTTGCTCCTGATTGGAGGAGAGCAGCGTACTCGGCGTGTGGGTAGCCGAGTTGGGATTGGCAGAGGAGGACTATAAAGGAGGAGAGAGACGGCATGCACCAGGAACATCTAAGGGGAACATCTAAGAGGAACACCTGTGCAGCCCCCGAGAGAGCCGGCCGGCGGAGTGCCGCTCCCCTGCGGAAGTGGGGAATGTGGCCAGGGGGAACCGCCCTTCCACGGAGGTGGAAGGGACAGTAGCCAACCCGGGAAGAACCAGCAGCAAACCCAGGGAGGGCCGAGCAGACAGAAGAACAGCGCAGGGTCCTGTGTCGTTCCTCCACGAAGAGGGGGAGCGACATAATGGTGCCGTGACTCGGATAGGAAACTTAGGACGGATAGGAAACCTAGGATGGATAGGAAACTTAAGAGGGAAGAAACGGGAAGAACTGGGAAAATACCGGAGAGAGAGACTAGCAAACAGCCTAGGGAAAAGCCGGACGAAAAAGGTGCCGGAAGAAGCTATTGAAAGCCTAGGCATAGACTCGGATACGGACTACGGGGGGAAGCTGGGAGAAATCTCTAAGGTCAAAAGCGAAAGTGAAAGCTAGAACAAACAGACTCGGACGTGGACTGTGGGGAGAGGCCAGGAGAAATGAGGGAGGAATATCGTTGGAGGAAAGTTTGGGGAAACATACCGGGTAGAGAAAAATGTTAGGGAAATTGAAGCCGCGGGGGGCAGGCCAAGGCGGAAACGAAAGCCACTTTGGGATTCTCAAGTTAGCCTGGGAATAGGGGGCGAAAAGTTGAAACCAGAAGCTGAAACGTAAGCCAGATTGGGATCCGTCTGATTAGCCCGGGGAGCAAAGGACGGGAAGCCAAACTGTGGGGCGGAGACGTAAGCTGGGTTGAATTCGCCAGGCTAGCCCGGGGAACTTGGATTGAATGCTAGTGGCGGACACGTAAGCTACGCTGTGTGACTCGCGGAGGCTGCCGCGCGCAGACAGAGCGTGCGGGGCTCAAGTACATAGGGAACGCGGGGCTAGTGCGTAACCGCGGAGTGTGCGCGCAAAGCCGAGCCGCGCAGATGAGAGAGGCGCAGGCTGAAGCGGCTCAGAGCCGGCGAGGCGCCGAGAAGCAGCCTCGGGGCGGAGCCTGCCGGCAGGGCGAGGCGCCGGGAAGCTGCAGGGATAGGAGAAATAGAAGTTTAGAAGTAAAGTGAGAGAAATAGGAATGCTGGAAGATGGAAGTAAAATGGGAGAAGTAGGAATGCCCGGAGATAGAGAAATAGAGAAATAGAAAGGCCTCCCCTCAACATGGCAGTGAGAGAGCTTGGATTCGGTCTGCCTGATTAAGTGAGGCGATGAGCACCTGCGGCGGCTAGCAGCTTATGCGCCGCAGGTCACCGAAGACAGGCATGAATTAACATCAGTAAGGCCTCCCCACAATACAGCAATTAGGAGGCTTGGATTCGGTCTGCCTGATTAAGGCGGTAAGCACCAGCAAGCAGCTCGACCAGAGTATGAGCTGCAGGTCACCGAAGATAGGCACGAACCAACACTAATAAGTCTCCCCCACAATACGGCAATGAGAAAGCTTGGATTCGGTCTGCCTGATTAAGGCGGTAAGCACCAGCAAGCGGCTCGACCAGAGTGTGAGCCGCAGGTCACCGAACACAGGCACGCATCAGCGCCTAAAAACCTCCTCACAACATGGCGAAGAGAGGACCCGGATTCGGTTTGCCTGATTGATAGGACTTGTAAGAACCTGTGGCAACTCTAGCAAGCAGAGCAGAGTGTGTGCCACGGGGCACCGAAGACAGGCGCGTATCAACGCCAAAAATAAAAAGAAAGGGGGATCTGTGGGGAGCAATCCGGACTGGACTGAGTTACTGGAATTAAGACTTATTCTATGCATCTGCTCTCCCACAATATGGCGCTGGGAGAGAAGTAAACAGCTTCTGCACAGCTGCCTCTCACCAACTTGACAAACTGTAGGACTTGCTCCTGATTGGAGGAGAGCAGCGTACTCGGCGTGTGGGTAGCCGAGTTGGGATTGGCAGAGGAGGACTATAAAGGAGGAGAGAGACGGCATGCACCAGGAACATCTAAGGGGAACATCTAAGAGGAACACCTGTGCAGCCCCCGAGAGAGCCGGCCGGCGGAGTGCCGCTCCCCTGCGGAAGTGGGGAATGTGGCCAGGGGGAACCGCCCTTCCACGGAGGTGGAAGGGACAGTAGCCAACCCGGGAAGAACCAGCAGCAAACCCAGGGAGGGCCGAGCAGACAGAAGAACAGCGCAGGGTCCTGTGTCGTTCCTCCACGAAGAGGGGGAGCGACAATAACTAACTTATCTTAAATTCAATGTGGTTATCTGGAGGCAAATAAAATGAGAAACAGCACCAACTCAGTTGAGTTATATGAAAATTAAGGGGCACCACAAGTTCACCTCTCAGCACGTGCTAAATTGTCATAAAGGTTAGTTATTACTGTTATTAAATGAACTGTTTGAGGGCCAGTGGGATGATACAATGGGTTAAGTCACTGCTTATGATGCCCATATTCCATATAGAGTGCTCATTCCAGTCAAGCTGCTTTGCTTCTTACCTGGCTTCCTACTAACACACCTGAGAAGGCAGTAGATGATGGTGCATGTGCTTGGGCCCCTGCCACCCATGTGGAAGTCCAGGGTGAGGTTCCTAATGTTTGGCTTTGACCTGACCCAGATCTGGCTGCTGCAGCCATCTAGGGAGTGAACCAAAGAATGAAGGATCTCTCTGTGTCTCTCCCTCTCTGTGCCACTCTGCCTTTCAAATAAATAAATACAAAAACAAAGAAAAAAAAAAAACACAGTAATCTGTAGGACAGCCCTGTAGGAAGCATGGAGAATCCTTCCACCCTCTTCCTCATTCATTGCTTTAGTTTTTAGTTCAGACCTGTCCCTCTCAGCTGGGCTATTACAATATACTCCTATCTCATTTGTTCCCATCTAAACCATTTTCAATGATGCCACCCAGGTGGTGTTTAAACATAAATTTTTTCATGGACTTATTCTTACCAAGACTGCCCAAGCTACAGCTCAAGGGTCAACCCCAGCTCAAAGGCTATTTAAGTAAATAAAGTTTTATGAAAACACAGCCAGGCTCATTCATTTATGTATTGTCCCTGGCTAATTTTGTGCCACAACAGCAGATGTGCGTAGCTGAAACACAGACCACATGGCCTGCAGAACCTAAAATATTTTCTACCTAGTTCTTTAGAGGACAAGCCTACCAACCCAGACTTACAAAGTGAAATCCAACACACAAGGCCCTCCATGAGCTGTCCCCTGACAACTTTGCCAGTCCTTTTTTGTTTGTTTTTTGTTTATTTGACAGATAGAGTTAGACAGTGAGAGAGAGAGACAGAGAGAAAAGTTTTCCTTCCATTGGTATTCCACCCAAATGGCTGCCATGGCCGGAGCCATGCCGATCCCAAGCCAGGAGTCAGGCGCTTCTTCCTGGTCTCACATGTGGGTACAGGGTCCCAAGCACTTGGGCCTTCCTCCACTGCCCTCCTGGACCATAGCAGAGAGCTTGACTGGAAGAGGAGCAACTGGGACTAGAACCCGGCGTCCATATGGGATGCCGGTGCCACAGGTGGAGGATTAACCAAGTGAGCCACGGCGCCGGCCCCTACTTTGCCAGTCTTACATCCTGCCACTACTTCCCTCAAACTTGATATCACAGAGAACGAAAATTTGTCTTCCCACACACACCTAGACTAGTTCTTATGCTTTTGCACTTTTGTATAAAGTTTTCCTCTGTCAGAAACATCCTGATCCCCGTGTCTGCCTAACAAATTCCACTTACCTTCCAAATCCTAAAAGAGCCTTCCTGTGGCCTGGCAGCCTTCCTACTGCACTTGGGCCCCTACACTGCCATTCTCTAGGTACCCTCCCTCCATACCGCCACACTTTGCACTCCAAATCAATTGCTGATGTATCACTCTCCCTTCCTAGAATTTGAGTCCCTTAAGTATTAAATACTCTGTACCTGGAATACAGTAGGTAGGCATTCAATACTTGCTGAATGGCTACTGACCAAAAACTTTTGTTCTGATTTCTTTTTTTTTTTTTTTTTACAGGCAGAGTGGACAGTAAGAGAGAGAGAGACAGAGAGAAAGGTCTTCCTTTGCCATTGGTTCACCCTCCAATGGCCGGCGCAGCCGGTGCACCGCGCTGATCCGAAGGCAGGAGCCAAGTGCTTCTCCTGGTCTCCCATGGGATGCAGGGCCCAAGCACTTGGGCCATCCTGCACTGCACTCCCGGGCCATAGCAGAGAGCTGGCCTGGAACAGGGGCAACTGGGACAGGATGCGGCACCCTGACCGGGACTAGAACCTGGTGTGCCGGCGCCGCTAGGCGGAGGATTAGCCCATTGAGCTGTGACGCCGGCGTTCTGATTTCTATTTCTAAAGGGTTACAAAGGGAAGCTGCTATAAAGTTGAAGCATCTCATGAATGGGGGTCAGTGTAACACAGTGGTCAGTCACAACTCCAGAGTCCATCCGGCCACCAGTCAGTCACATGTTTATCCTGTGATCTTAGGCAGACTCTACCACTAAACCTCATCAGTCTCATCTATATGAAAGTAGGAACTACTAACAAAAGAACCTACCCCACAGGATATTATGAGAGTCCATCAAGCTAGAACTTTGGCACGGTGGGTAAAGCCACTGCCTGCAATGCTGGCATCCCATAAGGGCACTATTGAAGTCCCAGCGGCTCCACTTCCGACCCAGCTCCTTGCTAAAGTGCCTGGGAGAGCAGAGGAAGATGGCCCAAGTATTTGTGCCCTTGCACAAATGCCAGAGGAAGTTCTTGGCTCCTGGCTTTGGTCTGGCATAGCCCTAGCTGGTGCACCTATTTGGGGAGTGACCATGTGGGTAGAAGACTTCTCTCTCTCTACTCCTCCTCAGGTAAACCTTTCAAATACTTGAAATAAATCTGTAAAAAGTGAGTGAGTGAGTGAGAGAGAGAGAGAGAGAGAGAGAGTCAATCACATGTAAATGCTTAACACAGAGCCTGATAGCATAAGCACTCAATGGGGCCAGCGCTATGGGTGCCAGTTCTAGTTCCGGCTGCTCCTCTTCCGATTCAGCTCTCTGTTATGGCCTGGGAAAGCAGTACAAGATGTCTCAAGTGCTTGGGCCTTTGCACCCACATGAGAGATTCAGAAGAAGCTCCTGGCTCCTGGCTTTGGATTGGTGCAGCTCTGGCCGTTGTGGCCATTTGGGGAGTGAACCAGCAGATGGAAGACCTCTCTGTCTGTCTCTGACTCTCTCTGTAACTCTGACTTTCAAATAAATAAAATAAATTAAAAAAAAATACTCAATAAATGGGTGGTTGTTATAGCTGAGGCTTTATAGAAAACCACAGAACCATGAAGTTGTTTGGCAGAAAAAGAATGCTTCTAAAAAGGCTTAGAAAATATACATTCAATGTTTGACATTAATTATTGGCGTTAGTTATTATTCTTCTCAACAATCTTACTTATACCCTCATGCCTGTTACAGAAAGATTTCAACAGAAATGAAGAAAAGATTAGTAATGTTATTGAGCATCAACTATATACCAGGTACTTACCAAGAACTTCAATAAATTTAACTATGTATAATCTCTTCCCTTTTCATTATTTCCATAGGAAATGGATTCACATCCTGTGTTTCTTATGCAAGTGACAAATGTGGTCTGAAGACATGCACAGGTGAGACTATGGCTCACCCCACCATACCCCTGAGTGATACTATCCTTCCCCCACTCCAGGAAATCACCCTCACACTCTCAGACTGCCAAAAGCTAGTGAACTACCCCATGGAATGCAGACAATCTAACATGTTAAATCTTAATTCAATCAAAGACGCCTTGATGAAGGAGGAGACAGACTATAAATTATTGGAGCAGTGATTTCTTTAAATAGAAGAAAATAACCAGAATTATTAATTTAGGATAAATTTTGAACTTGGCAGTAAGCTGAACATTAAGTCATGGCACTTAAGTGCCTTAAAGGCATCATACACTGACCTTGTGTTCGGTGGGATCGAATAATACTCATGGAGCTAATCCAGTCTGGTGAGATCTTTGATACTAAGGAGTAGAGCACCTCAAGGCTAGTAGCATCCACAACCAGGATTTCAGGGTAATGTCCATGGCACAAAAGCCTTCCTTCCCGCTGGTTTCCAACTGAGAATTGGTAGAACTAAATTCATATCCAAAGGAAAAAAATTTTTAAGTATACTCCTTTAGTTCAGATATTTGATTAATATGTATTCATCAAGTTTATTATATTCTCCTCCTTTTTCTCAACTTCTGCAGTAAACTCTAAGGTACACATTATATGTGTGTATGTACAAACATAAAAATACATCAAGTTATAGAAATGTTTTAAAATATCAAAGAAAAATTGTTCTTCTCCTAACATGTTTATCTTCCCTTTTGACCTATCTTGGGGTCAAAAGAATTCGTGAAAATTCTTCTTTTTATCCCCCTCCAGCATCTAAAACATGCCTGTTGAATGAATTAAAACACCTAAATAAAACAGTCTCACAAATCAAATCATAGGGATGCTCAGGTAGGTCACAAAAATGATATGAATTTTAAATGAATGGAAATAGGTGACTATAGGCTTATAATTACTAATTATCTACTTCAGAAGTGAAAAATGATCAATGTTGAAATATCAGAAGCAAATTCTGGGGCAGGCACTATGGCATAGTGGGTAAAGCTGTCACCTGCAGCACTGGCATTCCATATGAGTGCCGGTCCGAGACCCAGCTACTCCACTTTTTTTTTTTGACAGGAAGAGTGGACAGTGAGAGAGAGAGACAGAGAGAAAGGTCTTCCTTTGCCGTTGGTTCACCCTTCAATGGCTGTCATGGCCGGCATGCTGCGGCCATCCCACCGCGCTGATCCGATGGCAGGAGCCAGGTACTTATCCTGCTCTCCCATGGGGTACAGGGCCCAAGGACCTGGGCCATCCTCCACTGCACTCCCTGGCCACAGCAGAGAGCTGGCCTGGAAGAGGGGCAACCGGGACAGAATCTGGTGCCCTGACCGGGACTAGAACCCGGTGTGCTGGCGCCACAAGGCGGAGGATTAGCCCAGTGAGCCGCGGCGCCAGCTTACTCCACTTTCAATCCTGCTCTCTGCTATGGCCTGAGAAAGCAGTAGAAGACGGCCCAAGTACTTGGGCCCCTGCACCAACGTGGGAGACACAGAAGAAACTCCTGGCTCCTGACTTCAGATTGGCCCAACTCTAGCTATTGCTGCCATTTAGAGAGTGAACGCCTGGATGGAAGATCTCTCTCTCTCTCTCTCTGTCTCTGCATCTCTGTAACTCTTTCAAATAAATAAAATGAATCTTAAAAAAAAAAAAAAAACATGTTATCTCAGCTTCCTTTAAAAAAAAAGAAGTAATTCTAACTATACTAAGTGTGTTACTTCAGACGAGAGCACAAGACACTTATGGAAACACAGTGTTCATTATACTTCAACAAAGAAAAGAGGAAGAACCAATGCAATCTTGATCTATGTGTTACTAATGTCAAGAATTACTTAAGAGGATAAATGGGTTTCCATCAACCAAAGAACAGAAGAATAACTATAAAAGTATCAAAGGAGCTGTCTTCCCTAAGCCTTGAAAACAGTGCTTCTTAGTAGACTGATCCTCCTAGAAGATTTTTTAGAAGGTGAAGACATTTCCAGACTACTACTTCCCAAGGGACTGGCCCCTAAATGATTCTCGTAATGGCAGGCGAAGTAAAGCACAGAAGGCAATGCTATAACTACTCTACACTAGGGAAATAACTCAGGAATCTTGGTCCAATCTGTCCCCATGCTCATTAGATCTACTCTTAGAAATAGAAACATTGTTTGTAAAGGAATACTAATTCCTCTCAATAATGGAATACCCTTCAAAAGAAGGAGTACAACTTTGAATGCATAAACATTGATTGTGGAACACATTTTAATATAAGGTGGCACCCAGATTAAGGGGATGGCATCGAATAAAATGCAAATTACCACAGACGGCATTCTAGATCTCAGAAGGCTGACCCAAAAAACACTCAAGGTGAGGTTCCAGGAACTGTAGGCAGTCCCATATGATAGTGGCTACAGGTAGCCCTGAGCCATAGAAGGGGCTGATCTATCAAGGAAGAAAGGATGGATGCCAAGAAGCAAACTTGTCAGTGTTCAACCAGTACCAGGAAGGAGAGAGATGTGCACTGCAATCACTAAAGAACTCTCACCTGCAGGCAGAGATATCGTATTAGAACTGCCTGACTGCAAGTCTGTCACCTTTCACTTAAAGTTATACTCTCAAACCGTCTCTGACCCCTAACTAATGTCGCTAATTTAACCTCCAAGACACTTGGATACTGGGAAAGAGCGCATCTTGAATGGAGAACCAAGTGTTCAAAATATTAATTAAACAAACTGGCATTTCCTTGCAATTTTAGTAAGTGTTAGTGTCACCAACATTTATCACTTCTGTGTATATACAAAACACCCCACTTCTGGACCTGAAAAGAGTGAAGAACACCTAGGAAACCGCCACCACACTGGCAAATCTGTCAACAAGCATCGTCTCCTTAGAGATGTCTGCCAACTGAAATACCAAAGGCCTGATAAATCAGAATCTGATAAATAGCAGGCACTGGAGACATGTTGAACAAATCCAGAAATTTTTCTCTAATGTAGAAGACAAACATTTTAAAATCATAAATCAAAATTATATCATGGTCAAAATACTTGAATCCAATGAGTTCAAGATATTCATATACAATTAATTAAATTACAGTCCATGAACCAACATTGATTTATTATCCCTTTTCTCTCTATAAATTTTGATGATTCTTCATATGATAAAAATAAACAATATATGCTTTTTAAGAAAGCACATGCCCTAATAAGACTAAAGAAGTAAATTTTAAAAGGCCTTTAAACTAAGAAATAATCCCAAAAGACTCATATCCCACTAACTACCATCCCCCTCACAAATATTCTCCTTTGACTCTCTAATTTGTGTTAGTAGAGAAGGTTTTATTTCTCAATGAATAATCTTGTGTGGTTTAAAGTAAATGGTACGATGTAAGAGAAAACACAGTCCTAGAGATCAACAGACCTGATTTGGGACCAGGGTGCCAAGGATGATTCACTATGAGATTCAATAGCTCATATAATCTCTCTGGGCCTCAACTTCCTTATATGTAAAATGATACACTACCGTTTAATTTGTAAGGATGTGGGGAGATTAAATGAAACGCAATACAAGAAATATCTATACAACTCTTGTTTGATAAATGTGAGATCTCTTCCCTTTCCCCTTCCATTGAGAACATAACTGCTCGTACTTTCTCTATACCTCATAGTTTTCTCAACACAGTTAACAAGTACATTGAAGCATTGAGAAGTTGACAGTTATGAAAAAGTAAGAACATCAGGAACCTAAGTCAGGAACTATACATTCTATGTAATATTCAACATATCATTTCTTCTAAAAAGTTATAGAGTCTTAAAAAGAACCAATTGTACTAATAAAAAACAATACGGCCCAAAATGTAGGTCAATCTATGTCAATCACAAATGGAATTTTAATGGCTTTAACCATAAGGAATTCCATTATTTAGGGCCGAGACCACTTACCCAAGTAAGGTGCCTAACTTGGGCAGCCAGGAGAGCCCACACCAGCAGAAGCAGCAGTGGTCACTGCCTCACCCTGAATCTTTCCTGATTGGTCCCTCCTGCTTTATTACTTGTCCTAACTGCCATCTTAGGACGAATCCCGTTCCTACTCCAATTCTAATCATTTTGTCCTACTGCCCCTCCCCACCATTTTTCTTATAAAAATTTACAGGCTCAGTGTTTTTAAAAGTTTTAAGTCATGTACTTGTAATGAATTGTGTGTAATCCCAGAAATAGATACTAACTTGTATGCCAGTATGTGTGCAGGCTAACTTTGTAAATTCAATACATCTGCCATCATTCACATCCCAGAGGCACATCTCTCTGTAAAAGAAAAATACAGCAAGATTAGAATCTGATTTTTAAAAGCATTGTTCAACTGTGTCACAGTAGCTTAAAATTAACATTCTATTTTTATTCCATTGTCATTATGGCTGTTTGTCAAAACATACAGTCTTCCCACCTGCAATCTTAAGCCACCCTCCAATCTGCCCACCCCCCACACCAACCACACCCTTTCTGGGTCCATTATAGGACCGTACTCCTGGCTCTTTTTAGTTGGTGGAGGCTAGTGACCAGCTCTGGCTAGAAGTGATGTGAGCAAGTGAGACCCTACCGAACTCTTTCTCTCCTACTTCTATTCCAAATAGTGGCTGCTTTGGATAATTATTGTTCCCTCACCTTGAACCTTAAAGTACAGATAAAAATGAAGCAGAGCTACCACATGATACCTGAGCAGCAAGAGACAAAAACAAGAAATAAGCTTTTAATTTAAACTACAACGCTTTTTCATTTGTTATCAATGCAACTAGAAAATTTAACATAAAAAAAATAAAAGTTAAAATCAACTTTATTTGAATTTCAAATTTCTGTAAACTATGGTATTCTAGTTTTGATTCTGTATATTTAGTAATTTTATTGAGTACATACAAAAAACAACTTCTATCTCAAACTAAAGATGTAACATTGAAAATCAGAAATACCAGTAAGTCTCACCTTTTGTAAAAGTATAACTTATATGACAAAAAATATTAATAAAATGCAATGATCCTGAGGTTATTAGAGTTTCCTTTAAGATACCATTTTCTTTTGTCTCACATGATATGAAATAATTTTTCAAAGAATACTCAATCTAGAACATTTTAATGTGACTTATGCTCTAACTGTTCAACAGATACTGTATTTCTACCTGATGCTACCTCATATGGTACTGTAGAATTACACAAAGTTCTCTTCAAATCCATAAATCACGGAGAAGAGAGAACAATTGCTTATGGAACTTTCTCCAAGTTCCCCAACTCTCTTTAATTGTATAAATATACAATTTTCAAAGGACGAAAAATGCTTTTTAAAATTCACTCTGGGCCCCAAAACTACTGTTCAATATACTACCAATTCTCCAAAAGCAAGCTAAATTCTACGACTCAGGAATACACACAGTTATGTTAATAAACTGAAAAAATCACTGTCACTGTATGAATTCTTCCGTGGCTTCATTTTCCAAATTTGTGCTAGCCTAGCATCATTCTGGTTTTTTAACAATTTCAAGGGAATCTGCTGACTAAATTAAAACAACAAGGGTATTAAGATCATGCTTTAACTTTTCTGGCATTCTGAGTTTCTCAAAAGTGAAACAAAGAACATAATCATATTACAAGAAAAGTTTTATAAAATCATTAATAGAAATGAAAATCATATCCTTAAAGCTATTTCAAATATTTTTCTATAGGTTTAAACAATGGGAAATATTTATTTAGAAAATACTCTAAAATTGAAACAAAAAAAAACTCCCTTATTTACTAAAACATTGATACTAAAGACGTATGAGAATAAAAGTAAATAAGAAAACACTGGCCAGCGCCGTGGCTCAACAGGCTAATCCTCCGCCTTGCGGTGCCGGCACACCAGGTTCTAATCCCAGTCGGGGTGCCAGATTCTGTCCCGGTTGCCCCTCTTCCAGGCCAGCTCTCTGCTGTGGCCAGGGAGTGCAATGGAGGATGGCTCAAGTGCTTGGGCCCTGCATCCCATGGGAGACCAGGAGAAGCACTTGGCTCCTGCCTTCGGATCAGCATGGTGCGCCGGCCACAGCGCACCGGCCGCGGCAGCCATTGGAGGGTGAACCAACAGCAAAGGAAGACCTTTCTCTCTGTCTCTCTCTCTCTCACTGTCCACTCTGCCTGTCAAAAAAAAAAAAAAAAAAAGAAACAAAAAGAAAACACTTACCCACTCTCAGATGCACTCACAATATACTGTTTGTCACTGGAAGCACAAGCTTTAGATAAGCAAGTGATTGAAGCTGTATGACCAAATAACAGAGCCCGAGGATTAACCTAGAAAAGCAAAACAATGCTGATGTAAGTAAAAATTTAAAAGTTAATATTTCAATTAGGAATCGTATTAAATATTCAATGCAAATATATAGATTTAGATTTAAAAAGAATCGCTCAAAACACTAAAAACAAAGAGTAAAAACAGCAGCAACAAAAAAGTAAACTCTAATCCATAAAATGTCCACAATCTTAGTTTATCAAGTAGTTTTGAAGTTAAAACAGGAGCTATGAAGAAAAAAAATCAAAACTGCAGTATCTATGAGGTAGGAATTTGACATAAGGGTTAAGTCACTGCTTGGTAGACCCATATCTCATACAAAATGCCTGGTTTGAATCCTAGCTTCTCCACTTCAAATCCAGATTCCCAGGGCCAGTGCTGTGGCGTAGTAGGCTAAGCCCCCACCTGTGGTACTAGAATCCCATATGGACGCCGGTTCCAGTCCCGGCTGCTCCTCTTCCAAACCAGCTTTCTACTAATGGCCTGAGAAATCAGAGGAAGATGGCCCAAGTGCTTGGGTTCCTGTACCCGCATGGGAGACCCAAAGAAGCTCCTGGCTCCGGCTTTGGATCGGCATGGCTCCGGCCGTTGTAGCCACTTGGGAAGTGAACCACCGACAGAAGACTTTTCTCTCTGTCTTACTCTCTCTCACTGTCTGTAACTCTACCTCTCAAATAAATAAATAAATAAAATATTTTCTTTAAAAAAGAAACCTTTTATTTAATGAATACAAATTTCCTAAGTGCAACTATAGGAATATAGTGGTTCTTCCCCACATACCCACCTTCCAATCCCCACTCCCATCCCACTTCCTCCTCCTTCTTCCATCCCATTCTTCATTAGATTTGTTTTTAATTAACTTTATATAAAGACCAACTCTATACTAAGATTTCAACAATTTGCATACACACTCACATACACAGAAAAAGTATAATGAACTGTTTGAAAACAAGTTTTACAGTTAATTCTCATAGTAAAACTCATTAAGGTCAGAGGTTCTACATGGGGAGTAAGTGCACTGTTGTTAATTTAACAATTAACACTCTTATGTATGATGTCAGTGATCACCCAAAGCTCTTGACATGAGCTGCAAGGGCTATGGAAGCCTTTTGAGTCCATGATCTCCGTCTTGTTCAGACAAGGCCATAAGCAAAGTGGAAGTTCTCTCCTTCCTTCAGAGAAAAATAGTCTTCTTTGATGGCCACTTATCTGCACTAGGGTCTCACTCACTGAGATCGTTCATGAAGAAACTTTTTTTTTGTCCCAGTGTCTTGGCTTAACATGCATGAAATGCTATCACGGGCTTTTCAGCCAGACCAGAATGCCTTAAATGCTGATTCTTAGGTCAGAGCGCTGTTTAGGGCATTTGACATTCTATTAGCCTACTGTGTTGACTACTTCCCATGTTGGAAAATTCTCTCCTTTGTTAATTCTATTGCCATTACCAGACACTTGATCTTATTTATATGATCCCTTTGACACTTAATCCTATCTGTATGATCACTATAACAATTACTATGATCACTTTAACACATAAGATGGCATTATTACCACCCAGCTTAAAGGGAATTGGAGTCCCATGGCAAGTTTTAGCTTTACCCTTAGAAGTAAGTCCATGGGAATGTATGCAGAACTATACCGCTCTTCCCTCTCTTATTCCCACGTTTATATTTTACTGGGATCTATTTTCAATTGACATTATACACATATGATTAATTCTATGTTAAGTAAAGAGTTCAACCAATGGTATTAGGTAGGAAAAAAAATTTTTAAAAATTAGAAATACAATTAAAAACTTTTCCTTGACAGTCAAGACAATGGCTATTCAAGTTACTGCTTCTCATACTGTCAGTTTCACTTCTACAGGTTTCCTTTTAGGTTCTCTGTTAGTTATCACAGATCAGGGAGAAAATATGATATTCGTCCCTTTGAGACTGGCTTATTTCACTGGGAATGATGTTTTCCAGATTCATCCATTTTGTTGCAAATGATCAGGTTTCATTTTATTTTATTGCTATGTAGTATGCAAAAGAGTACATATCCCAAAATTTCTTTATCCAGTCTTTGGTTAACGGCATTTAGGTTGATTCTACATCTTAGCTATTGTGAATTGAGCTGTAATAAACATGGGAGTGAAGATAACTCTCTTATTTGCTGATTTCATTTCACTTGGGTAAATTCCAAGGAGTGGGATGGCTGGATCATATAGTAGGAATATATTCATATTTCTGAGGTATCTCCAAACTGTCTTTCAAGTGGTTTTACCAATTCACATTCCCACTAACAGTGGATTAGGGTACTTTTTCCTCACATCCTTGCCAGCATTTGTTGTTTTTTGATTTCTGTATGAAAGCATTCTAACAATGGTGAGGTGAATCCTCATTGTGGTTTTGATTTGTATTTCCCTGACAGCTAGTGATCCCAAACATTTTTTCATGTGATTGTTTGCTATTTGGATTTCCTCTTTTGAAAAATATCTGGGGGCCAGTGCCGTGCCTCACTTGGTTAATCCTCCACATGCGGCACCGGCATCCCACATGGGTGCCAGTTCTAGTCCTGGTTGCTCCTCCTACAGTCCAGCTCTCTGCTGTGGCCCAGGAGGGCAGTAGAGGAAGGCCCAAGCGCTTGGGCCCCTGCACCCACATGGGAGACCAGGGAGAAGCACCTGGCTCCTGGCTTCAGATTAGCACAGCACCAGACGTAGCGGCCATTTGGGGAGTGAACCAACAGAAGGAAGACCTTTCTCTCTGCCTCTCTCTCTATATAACTCTATTTGTCAGTAAGGAAGAAAGGAAGGAAGGAAGGAAGGAAGGAAGGAAGGAAGGAAGGAAGCAACCAACCAATCTGAGTCCTTTGCCCATCTCTTAACTGGGATGTTTGGTTCGTTGTGGTGGAGAATCTTGATCTCTTTGTAGATTCTGATTAGTAATCCTTTATTAGTTGCATGATTTTCAAATAAGTTCTCCCAATCTGTCGGTTGCCTTTTCACTTTCCTGAGTGTTTCTTTTGAAGTACAGAAACTTCTCAATTTCATATAATCCCATTTGTTAATTTTGGCTTTGTCTGTGCCTCTGGGGTCTTTTCCAAGACCTCTTAGCCTGTGACAATGATTTAAGGATTTCCCCAATGTTCTCTAATAATTTGATGGTATCAGATTGTAGATTTAGGTCTTTAATCCATTTTGAATGGATTTTTGTGTAAGGTGTAAGGTAGTGGTCCTGTTTTCAAAGCACCATTTATTGAAGAGACTGTCCTTGCTCCAGGGAGTGGTTTTAGCTCCTTTGTGAAATATAAGTTGGTTGTAGATGCTTCAATTGATTTCTGGTGTTTCTATTCTGTTCCATTGGTCTATCCATCTGTTTTGTACCAGTACCAGGCTGTTTTGATTATACTGCTTTGTAGTATGTCTTGAAATCTGGTATTGTGATGCCTGTGGCTTTGTTTTTGTTGTATAAGATTGCTTTAGCTATTCGAGGTCTCCTGTTTCCGTATGAATTTCAGCATCATTCTAGATCTGAGAACAACGTCTTTGGTGTTTTGATTAGTATTGCATTGAATCTGTACATTACTTTTGGAAGAAGGGGCTTTTTAATGATATTGATTTTTCCAATCCATGAACATTTTTCCATTTTATTTTGTATCTTCTATTTCTTTCTTTCTTTCTTTTTTTTTTTTTATTTAGGCAGAGTTAGACAGTGAGAGAGAGAGATAGAGAGAGAAAGGTCTTCCTTCTGTTGGTTCACCCCCCAAGTGGCCGCTACAGCCGACATACTGTGCCGATCTGAAGCCAGGAGCCAGGTGCTTCCTCCTGGTTTCCCATGTGGGTACAGGGCACAAGCACTTGGGCCATCCTACACTGCCTTCCCGGGCCACAACAGAGAGCCGGACTGGAAGAGGAGCAACCGGAACAGAACCAGTGCCCCAACTGGGACTAGAAACCAGAGTACCGGCACCACAGGCAGAGGATTAGCCTAGTGAGCCGCGACACCAGCCTTTCTTTCTTTAATGTTTGTAATCTCATTGTTGATATCTTTGACATTCTTGGTAAAATGTATTCCAAGGTATTAAGTATTTGATTTTTTTTTTGTAGCTATTGTGAATGGGTTTGTTCTTAGAAGTTCTTTCTCAGCTATGGCATTCTCTTTTTATACAAATGCTGTTTTTGTGTGTGTGTGATTTTATATCCTGCTACTTTATCAGACTCTTTAATGAGTTCCAATAGTCTGTTGGTGGAGTCTTTTGGATCCCCTATATAGAGAATCATGCCATCTGCAATTAGGGATAGTTTGACATTCTCATACCCGATTTAAATCTCTTTGATTTCTTATCTTGGCTGATTGCTCTGGTTAAAATTCCCAGGACTATACTGAATAGCAATGGTGAGAGTGGGCATCCTTGTGTGGTTCCAGATCTCAGTAAGAATGCTTCCAACTTTTCCCCATTCAACAGGACACTGGGTTTGTCATAAATTGCCTTGATTGTGTTGAGGATTGTTCCCTCTATACCCAATTTTCTTAGAGTTTTCATCATGACAGGGTATGATATATTGTCAAATGCTTTCTCTGTATCTATTAAGATAATCATATGGTTTTTGTTCTTCTGTTTGTTAATGTGATGTATCACATTGATTGATTTGCAAATGTTGAACCATCCCTGCATACCAGAGATAAATCCTACTTGGTTTGGGTGAATGACATTTCTGTTGTGTTATTCAACTCAATTGGCCAGAATTTTATTGGAGATTTTTGTGTCCACGTTCATCAGGGAAATTAGTCTGTAGTTGTCTTTCTCTGTTGCATCATGTCCGGGTTTATGAATTAAGGTAATGCTGGCTTCATAGAAAGAATTTGGGAGGATTTCTTCCCTTTCAATTGTTTTGAATAACTTGAGAAGAACTGGAGTTAGTTTTTCTTTGTTTGGTAGAATTCAGCAGTGAAGCTATCGAGTCCTGGGCTTTTCTTTGTTGGGAGAGTCTTTATTACTGTTCAATTTATGTCTTTGTTATGATTCTGTTTAGGTTTTCTACATCTTCATGGCTCACTTTAGTTAGGCTGTATGTGTCTAGGAATCTATTTATTTATCTAGGTTTCCCTTGTTCACATTCAGCTCTTTGTAGTAATATGTGATGATTCTTTTTATTTCGGTGGTGTCTGCTGTTACACTTCCTTTTTTCATCTGTAATTTTGTTGGTTTTCGGTCTTCTCTCTCCTTTTGTTGGTTAGTTGGGCCAACGGTGTGTGAAATTTGTTTATTTTTTCAAAAAATCAGCTCTTCATTTTGCTGATCATTTGTATTATTTGTTTTGGTTTCAATTTTGTTGATTTCTTCTTTAATTTTATTTTCTTCTACTATTTTTGGGTTTGGTTTTCTGTTTTTTTCTAGGTCCTTGAGGTGCACTGATAGCTCATTTATTTGGTGCCTTTCCAATTTCTTGATGTAGGCACCAATTGCTATCAACTTCCCTCTTTTTCTTTTAAAGGTTTATTTGTTTATTTGAAAGTCAGAGTTACACAGAGAGAAGGAGAGGCAGAGAGAGAGAGAGGTCTTCCATCCACTGGTTCACTCCCCAGTTGGCCACAACGGCCAGAGTTGCGCCGATCCAAAGCCAGGAGCTTCTTCTGGGTCTCCCAAGCGGGTGCAGGGGCCCAAGGACTTGGGCCATCTTCTACTGCTTTCTCAGGCCATAGCAGAGATCTGGCTCAGAGCTGGAGCAGCCAGGACTCAAACCGGCAACCATATGGGATGCCAGCACTGCAGGCAGCAGCTTCACCTGCTACACCACAGAGCCAGCCCCTAAACTTTCCTCTTAACACTGCTTTTGGTATATCCCATAAATTGGATATGTTATAATGTCATCTTCATTTGTTTCCAGAAAGTTTTTTATTTCTCTTTTGATTTCCTCTATGACCTACTGCTCATTCAGGAGTGTATTGTTCAGTCTCCATGTGTTGTGTATGTTCTGGAGATTCTACGGTTGCTGATTTCCAGCTTCATTGTATTGTGGTCCAAGAAGATGCATGGTATGATTTTGATATATTTTTTTTAATTTCCTGTGACTTGCTTTCTGGTCTACCATGTAGTCAATCTTAGAGAAAGTTCCAAGCACTGCTGAGAAAAATGTATATTCTGGCTGGTGCTGTGGCTCAATAGGCTAATCCTCTGCCTTACAGCACCAGCACACTGGGTTCTAGTCCCGGATTCTATCCCGGTTGCCCCTCGTCCAGGCCAGCTCTCTGCTGTGGCCCAGGAGTGCAGTGGAGGATGGCCCAAGTGCTTGGGCCCTGCATCCCATTGGAGACCAGGAGAAGCACCTGGCTCCTGCCTTCGGATCAGCGCGATGCACCGGCCGCAGCACACCAGCCGCGGCAGCCATTGGAGGGTGAATCAACGGCAAAAGGAAGACCTTTCTCTCTGTCTCTCTCTCTCTCACTGTCCACTCTGCATGTCAAAAAAAATTTAAAAAAGAAAAATGTATATTCTGTGGCTATAGGGTAGAAGGCTCTGTAGATATCTGCTAGGTCTATATGGTCTATGGTGTCAATTAACTCTGTTATTTTCTTTTTGATTTTCTGCCTCATTGATCTGTCCATTGCTGAAATTGGGGTATTGAAGTCCCCTATTATTATTGTATTTGAGTCTATATCTCCCCTTAATTCCCTTAATATTTCTTTAAATAGCCAGGTGCCCTGTAATTAGGTGTATATACATTTATAATAATCATATCTTCCTGTTGAATTGATCCTTTAATCATTATTTAGTGTCCTTCTTTGTCTCTTTTAACAGTTTTTGTGTTTAAGTCTATTTTGTCTGAAATTAGGATGGCCACGCCAGCTATTTTTCGGTTCCTGTTAGCATGGATTATCTTTTTCCATCCTTTCACTCTCAGTTTGCATACATCTTTATTGGTAATAAGTGTTTCTTGTAGGTTCCAAATAGATGGGTTTTCTTTCTTAATCCATTCAGTCTGTGTACTTTTAACTGGGGAGTTGAGTCCATTTACATTCAGAGTAACTATTGTTGAGTACTGACTTTGCCTTGCCATGTCTCTGTAAATAGTCCTGTTTTTATATTTTGGATTTCCTTTGTACTTTTGCTGGGTCATTTTCTGTATTCATTTTATTTCGTGGTGATGTTCCTGTTTCTGTGTATAGCACATCCTTGAGCATTTTTTGTAGGGCTGGGTGAGTAGTTACACATTCTTTCAATTTCTGTTTGTTGTGGAAGATCTTTAGTTTTCCTTCATTCAGAAATGAAACTCACATTAGTTAGTGTCCCTGACACCAACATGGAAGACCCAGGTGGAGTTCCAGGCTCCTGCTTCAGCCTAGCCCAAGTCCTGGCTGGAGCAGGCATTTGAGGAGTGAACTAGTAGATGGAGAGTGTCTGTCTCTTTTAGTCTCTCTGCTTTTCAAATAAAGTGAAAACAAGCTTTCTAAAGATTGATTGAATGAGTAAGTGATTGATTTGAAAGGCAGAATTACTGAGAGGGAGGGAGGGAGGGAGGGAGAGGCAGAGGGGGAGAGGGAGAGAGAAAGGGAGAGAGAAAGAGAGAAAGAAAGAGATCTCCCACCTATAGTTCAAATCCCAGGAATAGCCAGGGCTGAGCCAGGCCAAGCTAAGAGCTTCATCTGAGTCTCCCATGTGGGTGAAGGGGCCCAAGCACTTGGGCCATCCTCCACTGCATTCCCAGGTGCATTAGCAGGGAGCTGGATAGCAGCAGGACACTAATCAGTGCTCATATGGGATGTCGGTGTCACAGGCAGGGGTTTAACCTACTGTGCCACAACATTGATCAGGAAGACCACTGATTCAGTGACACAGTGCATAAGGATGGCTTTATATCCACCACAGTGAAACAATCTAGCAATCAAGCCCCAAATTTATTTACTTTGTACCAAATGGCACGCTAGTGATCAGGTTAGTTCAGAGCCTTAGGTTACTTCAGAACACAATTTTAATTAACTATTTAATACATAGAAATATTTATAACATACATGATATAAAAAATAAATTGATCACATGCCCAACATGTATCCTAGTAAACAAAAGATGAATAATAACTTTTTATCCCTTTTGTACTGTTAATATTGTCCATTTTGCAAATAATTAATTCCATTTTATTAGTTAAGGCAAGATGTTCAAAATTGAATATTCCATAAGAGTATTGTAATTGTTTAACGGAGTATGTGATAACTGAGAAAATTTTTCAAATTCAATCATATCTTGGTCATTTTCTTGTATACTTACAATCAAGAAAAAATTTGTTGTTCATAGTTTGACTAGGCCTAGAAAGCTTTCCCATAAATCAAATCGTAACAGACATTTATAAACTTTCACTGGGAAAAATATTCTTGTCAGTAATTTCTCAAAGAAATTTATTTTTAATATGCACAGTTAAGCCAGAAAACCTCATATTCTTTTTTTAAAGATTTATTTATTTATTTGAAAAGCAGAGTTACAGAAAGGCAGATGCAGAGAGAGAAAGTGGTCTTCCATCCAATGGTTCACTCCCCAAATGGCTGCAATGGCTGGAGCTGAGCCAATCCAAAGCCAGGAGCCAGGAGCTTCTTTCTGGTCTCCCACATGGATGCAGGGGTCCAAACATGTGGGCCATCTTCCATTGCTTTCCCAGGCCATTGCAAAGAGCCAGATCAGAAGTGGAGCAGCCAGGACTCGAACCAGTACTCATATGGGATGTTGGCACTGCAGGTAGCGTTTCTACCTGCTATACCACAGAGCTGGCCCCTCCATTTTCAATCATAATAGAGAACTGGTCTTTACTCCCACATAAGAGGTAGGAAAACAGAACAAAAATATATGAAACAACCGTGTGGGAAACTATGATCACCAGATTTTCAGCCTGCGGCTCTTATGCAGCCATGCTGCAGGGTGGTAGAAATCTCCCAGAATCCCTGGATTGAGAAGACAGAGATTAAAGTATACGGAAGATTAAGGTAGGCTGAATGTGCACAGCAAAGCATCAGAGACAAGGAAGCCACTCAGAGAAGAGGGCAGTTCGCAAAGGGATTCCTGGAAGACCTGGCAGAAAATGGACTGGAAACAGTAAGTTGTGACATTTCCAGAGCTCAATCCAGAGCAGGAGGTATTCAAGAGACAAAGAGCTTTGTTGAACATCTGACTCCAGATGGTACACATCTCAAGAGCAGAAGCAAAACGAGCTCTAGAATAAAGCTCCACCAGAGATAGCTTTATCAGTTGTTAAGATGGTTATTTAACGAGAATAAAAACTGACATGCTTCTAGCATAGATTAACCAAAAAAGAGACAAGACAAAAATTACCAATATGAGGAATAAGAGTTATCTGGGACCAGTGCTGTGGCATAATGGGTAAAGCTCCGCCTACAGTGCCAGCTTCTCACATGAGGGCTGGTTCCCATTAGTCTGCTCAACTCCCAATCCATCTCCCTGCTGATGCACCTGGGAAAGCAATGGAGGATGATGGCCTACATACTTGGGACCCTGCACCCACATGGGAGACACAGGAAGAAGCTCCTGGCTCCTGCTTTCAGATCAGCCCAACTCTGGCCATTGTAGCCATTTGGGGAATGAACCAGCAGAAATGAAGCCAGGAGCCTGAATCAATCCAGGTATGCCACATGGGTGGCAGGCACCCATCACTTGAATCATCACTTGCTGCTTCTCCAGGTGCACCTTAGCAGGAAGCTGGATGAGAGGCAGAGTCAGGACTGGAACAAGGCATCCAAAGTACCATCTTAACCACTGCACAAACACATGCCCCTAGGTTTAGATATCATATTTGAAAATAGCCAAAAGCCAGCAGAAGTCAACTCTGGTGAATAGTGTAACTAATCAATCTGCCTTCTACCAATTTTAGTCAAAATATATTCTATAGAAAATATATTCTGTGCCTAAGTACATTTCTGAAACAACATTATTTTCTAATAAATAGTTTCTTAGGTTTAAAATATACAACAGGCATTTCAAATACTTACTTCCAATTCTACTGAAAGATCCCAGAGACATATTTGTCCATCGTGGCATCCTGTTACAATCGTGTCCCCATCATCTGTCAAAAGTACTGCTGAGATGCAATGTGTTGGTGCTTTGCGGCCCCAAAGAACGATGGGTAGAACAAGGCTGTTTCCTGCCATTGTGTTTTCAAACCTGAAAATGTTACCAGAATAATGTCAAATATTACACTACTCCAACTCTAAAACATGTTGCATGTTTTCATTTTGGAGACAAATTGTATCATTTGAAAATAATAAGCTCCTATTCCTGGTAGTACATTTTAGTCACTTAAACATTTATCACTCCCAAATAAAAATCACCAACTTATCACAACTACTTTTAGATTCAGGGACTTAAAAATGCAACACAGGTGTTTACCCTATAGATTTACATTTACATTTCAAACTAATGAAAAGCTAATGACTCAAAGCCACTGTAATCCAAAAGCTGTACTTTGGAAATTTATATTTATTAAATAAATTTTTTTTAAAAAAGGGAAAAAAAAGCTAATGACTCAGTACCTCGTATTTTTTTAGCACTTCAAAACTTATAAAGCACTTTTATGTATATCACTTCACTTAAAAACATTCACAGGGGCCCGGTGCTGTGGCTCACTTGGCTAATCCTCCACCTGCGGCGCCACCATCCCATATAGGCACCGGGTTCTAGTCCCAACTGCTCCTCTTCCAGTCCAGCTCTCTGCTGTGGCCCAGGAGGGCAGTGGAGGGTGGCCCAGATGCTTGGACCCCTGCACCCGCATGGGAGACCAGGAGGAGGCACCTGGCTCCTGGCTTTGGATTGGCGCAGCGCACCAGCCGCAGTAGCCATTTGGGGGGTGAACCAACAGAAGGAAGACCTTTCTCTCTGTCTCGCTCTCTCTCTGTAACTCTACTTGTCAAATAAATTTTAAAAAAAATCACAAAATTCAAAAAACTGTCTTTAGAGGTTGCTGGGTAGAAATTGGGGAATAAGTATCATCTTTGTGGACACAGAGCTAGCAAGCCATAGAACCCAAATGCAAATCCTGACCTTCGATGCCAAGCTGTCAGCCCAAACAAAGAAAGGTCAAACATAAAAGCTGATCTAAAAAAGTCCCAGGACACACAGACTGCACCATGGCCATTAGATGGTTAATTCTGAAGAACTTCCTGAGTGCCAGGTATAAATACTCACATTCACCATGTCAGTTACTCCTCACAAGAACTGTGAAGTCATTACAAATATCCCTGCCTTCTCACAGACACAAATGGAGACACAGAGTCACAAAGTGAGAAGTGATAAAGCCCAAAACAGAACCCAGGCAGCCCAGCTCCAGAGCCTGTGGTTCTTCACACTTTGCTCTGCTATAACAAATGAAGTCTCCAAGCCAATAATAAATAGTAATCCCAAAGAAAAACTCAGTACTGTGTTGCTGTGGATTCGTTCTGAGAGGAGCAGCGTGGTGGGGGCAAGAGGCACGGCGTCACCACAGACACCGGGAGTCAGGTGAAAGCAGGCTAGAGGCGAGCAGCTCACAAACTCATTTATTTCAGTTGGTACAGCAGCTTATATAGCCAAGGCAGCCAATCCGGTCAAGGGGTAGTTTCTGCCCTAAGAAATCACAGCCTGTTCCCAGGAAGGCTCCATTGCCAGGTGGTTTCTGAAGCCATTCCTGAGTAACTGACGCTTGCTTGCCAGCAGCCATCTTGGCATGGTCTTATTCCACCACAGTACTATTTTACTGTATGCTGAACATGAATAAGGAAAAAAAAAAAAAAGTGGGGCTGGCACTGTGGCATGGCAGTTAAAGCCTATTTCTCACCTATTTCTCAGCTCTGTATAGAAATCATAAAGGTGCATTTTAGTCAACAACAGCAAAAATGATAACAGAAAGCACACTAACTTACAATCAGATGGCTTGTATTCAAACCCTGACCCTTCTATATGATCTGGACACAGTGACCTCTCTAGACCGCAATTTCTCCATTGGTAAAAGTTGATTAGAGGATGGTGCCATGACATTGTGGGTAAAGCCGCCACTTGCAGCACTGGCATCCCATGTGGAAGTCGGTTCAAGACCCAGCCACTCCACTTCTGATCCAGCTCTCTGCTATGGCTTGGGAAAGCAGTAGAGGATGGCCCAGATCCTTGGGCCCTTGCACCCATGTGGGAGACCCAGAGGAAGCTCCTGGCTCCTGGCTTTGGATTGGTGCAGCTCTGGCCATTGTAGCCATCTGGAGAGTGGACCAGCAGATGAAGACCTTTCTCTCTCTCTCTTTCTCCCGTTCTCTCTGCCTCTGCCTCTCTGTAAATCTGCCTTTCAAATAAATTAATTAATTAATCTTTTTTTAAAAAGATGGTTAATAACTTCTTCCTCTCAGAAAGTTGCCATGAAGATTAAGATAATATATGTAATGCCACTAGTAATACATACAGAACATGGAAAACACTTAGTAAATACTAACTTTTTCTTAAAGATTTATATTATTTATTTCAAAGACAGAGCTACAGAGAGAGGTAGAGATAGAGAAATAGGTCTTCCATCCACTGGTTCACTCCGCAGATGGCCATAGTGGCCAGAGGTGCACCGATCCGAAGCCAGGAGCCAGGAGCTTCTTCTGGGTCTCCCACGAGGGTGCAGGGGCCCAAGAACCTGGGCCATCTTCCACTGCTTTCCCAGGCCATAGCAGAGAGCTGGATAAGACTCGAACCGGCACCCATATGGGATGCCAGTGCTGCAGGCCAGGGCTTTAACTCACTGCACCATAGTGCCAGCCTCCTAATTTTTAAAAAAAAAAAAAAACACAGATTTTACTTCCTTCACATTCTATTTACATATCTACCAGCTTCTTCTAGCACCATCATTTAATATTTGATGAAGTAGGACTTTTCAACAGATTAGTTATCTTTCATGACTTTATCCCACAAACTTTTTTTTTTTTTTTTTTTGACAGGCAGAGTGGACAGTGAGAGAGAGAGACAGAGAGAAAGGTCTTCCTTTTGCTATTGGTTCACCCTCCAATGGCCGCCACGGCTGGCACGCTGTGGCCGGCGCACCGCTCTGATTCGATGGCAGGAGCCAGGTGCTTCTCCTGGTCTCCCATGGGGTGCAGGGCCCAAGCACTTGGGCCATCCTCCACTGCCTTTCCGGGCCAGAGCAGAGAGCTGGCCTGGAAGAGGGGCAACCGGGAAAGAATCCGGCGCCCTGACCGGGACTAGAACCCGGTGTGCTGGCGCCGCTAGGTGGAGGATTAGCCTATTGAGCCGCGACGCCGGCCTATCCCACAAACTTAAAAATGCTACTGTGGGGACCGGCACCATGGTGCAGTAGGTTAATCCCATGTGGGCACCAGTTTGAGTCCCAGCTGCTCCTCTTCCAGTCCAGCCCTCTGTTATGGCCTGGAAAAGTGGTGGAAGATGGCACAAGTCCTTGGGCCACTGCACCCACGTGGGAGACCAGGAAGAAGCTCCTGGCTCCTGGCTTTGGATCGGCGTAGCTCCGGCCATTTAAATAAAAAAGATTTTATTTATTTCTTTGAGAGGTATAGTTACAGACAGTGAGAGGGAGACAGAGTTCTGGTCTTCCTTCCACTGGTTCACTCCCCAGAGGCCGCAACAGCCAGAACTACGCTGATCCGAAGCCAGGAGCCAGGTGCTTCTTCCTGGTCTCCTACGTGGGTGCAGGAGCCCAAGGCCTTGGGCCATCTTCCACCGCTTTCCCAAGCCACAGCAGAGAGCTGGATTGGAAGAGAAGCAGCCGGGACTAGAACCAGCACCCATATGAAATGCCAGCACCACAGCGCCAGCCCCCTCGGAGGTTCCACTTCTAATCCAGTTCCTGGTAATAGTCTGGGTCAGCAGCAGAGGATAGTTCAAGTGCTTGGGCTCCTGTACCCACATGGAAGACCCTGATAAGGGTCCTGGCTGCTGGCTTCAGCCTGGCGTAGCCCTGGCCATTGCAGCCATTTGGGGAATGAGCCAGAGGATGGAAAATTCTCTCTCTCTCTGTCTCTCCCTCTCTCTCTCTCTAATTTTGCTGTTCAAATACATAAATTTTTAAAAAATACAAATAATACAAACTGCCAACTCAACACTAAGATGGCTTTCAAATTAAATTCTGATTTCTTTGTAACAATAATTAACATATATTTTAGAGCAGTATTTCCCAGGCTTCTATTTTGTCCCTATGCCATCATAGGTATAGGGTATTTCAACCTGAGAATAAAACAGATGCAATTCAGCTGTCTGGTGGCTCACATACATGCAAATAAGCAGCTACCAGAGGGTATGCAGCAGTCTCAACAACGTGGAAACAAAACAGATGGATTCCCCTTAACTTGACTTCACTGAGTACAGGAAGAATTTCTGTAAGAAATGATGAATAGAATGAGGAGGAACTAATGAATGCAGAGGCTCTGGAAATCACATGCTCAAAGCCCCAGAGGTAAGATGTTAATTATTTCTGGACTGTGAAAATATCAGAGCAAATTCAGAGCCAAAAGGCAGAATGGTGAGACAATAACCAACAGACCAACATGCATCAGTCCATAAAGTGCCTTCTTAAAGAGTTTGTGAACTTCAGCCTGACAGCAATGAGACACATGTCAAGTGAATTTGAATTCGCTTTTCAGAGAGATCACCCTTACTGCATATAATGTAGAGTGACAAAAGAAGGCACGAAGAAGACCTGTGAGGCTATTGCAGAACTGCAGGTGACAGATGATTTCTCAACTCATCACATGCTCTCGTTACTTACTTCTAGGCTGCCCTGGTTAGCAGCTACCTTCCCTACTTTAAGATCCCTTAGAACAAGACTCACATTCTAGGTATTCACCATTACATGGTACTTAGCATAATGTCTATACCTCATAGGATGTTTTTAATAAAGTGGATTGTAAAGGATATTAATGTTGAGAAGAGTAATAATAATATGGATATGACAGCTATAGGAGTTAGGGTTCAACAAGCTGATAACAATGCAACTTGAATTTTGAACAGGGTTTACAGGAAGGTACTCTGAGGATTAAAATAAAAAAAGAAGGAAGTATTTTTGTATATTAACAGCTCCCCAAGTAAAGGATGGGCACTATTATTAAAAAACCAATGCCCAGGGAAGTCATCAGTAGATTTAGATTCTTTTTTTTTTAAGATTTATTTATTTATTTGAAAATCAG